TCTCAATTCATGAAGAATGGCAGGTCACTTTGGACATTTGGAATTCTCTTTTGCTTGGGAGCGAGCATGTCTATCACATTCTATTACGCCATTGCGGGGCACCATGTGCAGGACTCTTGACGACGAACACTCGCGCCCAGCAAATTGGAAGTTTCTCCATTGCACAGGCTATTGCCTTCAGTGGACTGCTACTCGAGTTGACCGTGCACCCAGCATCAAAGACTTTTCCGCGAACGTCGATACGGGTGATTGCGCCGCACTGACGGCAGCTCCAAGAGCATCATCAGAGTCTGTGTTCCCAGGGCCCCGGCGGTACTTATCCTGTGCCTCAACAGCGGCCTTCGCCGCCAGCAGTCGGTCCACCACTTCACAGTGGCCCTTCTCCGCCGCCAAATGCAGTGGAGTTTGGCCTCAATTCTGCTGGAAGCCACGCCGGCAGGGCGTATAGATGCTGTTGTTGCTCTTCAGTGGGGTGACCCATGCAAGGATGGAGCTGCATTTCACACCAAACTCTCAAGACCATGGCAAAGAGCGGCAAACAAACATCCTATTCTTGCCAAAACACAAGTATAATCAACATGCAAGTTTGGATGATGTGATTTTAAGACATGAATCGACTTTACGAGATGTTTTGGGCAAACTGCCCCATCAATTTCTTCAAGCCTGTCACGCGTCTCTATGTCGCTTCCATTTTTAGACCGACCCTTTTCGGGCCGAACACGACCAGAATCTGATCGACCTTCCGAGCCTTCCAAGCCTCTGGGGGCTCCCTGCGGTATGCGCCACCCTTCGCCTCCAAGTGGGCCTTGGCTTCCAGGAGCCGTTCGACCACGTGGAGGTGGCCCATGTCCACCGCCAAACGCAAAGTCGTGTGGCCTCAGAGGTGCAGAAGGGTGCAAAGGAAGCTTCAAACGGCTCGATCGATGCATGCTCGTCGCCAACAAATACTATGCAACTGAAAGTTCACGCTATGGGAAGCTCAGCCCTTTTCAAGGAAAGGGCCTTCGCCTTCGCTGTAGGAGGAATTTTTGGACCCACAAAGCTGCAACATCAGCTCAATTTCACGCAGCTCGAAATGTTTCCAAGGTTGTTCAAGGTGGACTCGCTCTGCTTGCTCGTCTTTCCAGCTGCCAAAGCATGTCGACGTTCTTCCACAACGTTGAAAATGCGGTCCTTCTCACTCCAGAGATCTGGGGGCTCCAGCCTTCCTTGTCTGCGGCCTCAATATCGGCTCCTGAAGCCACAATGCGATCCACCTCCTCCATCTCACCGGAGAGGGCGGCGCGGTGCAGCGCGGACTGGCCTCGGATGATCTGAGGAAAGCGTGTTCCCATCTCGGTTTAGGGACCAGTGGACTCAGTCAGAACCACTGGATATCGAAACAAATGCAAGACTTGAAGGTTCTGAAGCTGCAAGCCTGATCTCCGAATCCATTTCGCATCCCAACTTGAGTAACCACAACCAGCCTTTCATGAGCTCTGAGCCCATCCTTAGCTCCTTGCCTTTCTCATCAACCTCTGCACCTCGGCAGCTGAATCGGAAATGGATGAACCTTATCTTATCGACCCAATGATAGCCGGCGCATAGACCAACATTCTCCCTTCAGCTCGCTTGACTTTCTAGAAGACCCATCTTTGAGCCTGTGGCCTCACAAATCAGGTATCATCTTGGTTGCGCTCGCACGAGTGCAAACGGCAATTCTGAGTTCATCCAGCTTCTGGAGTTCGGGGGCTTCCGTGCAGGGTTCCGAAACCCGACAATCCTTTGTTGAAGTCCAACAGGCCTCAAGAAGAGTTTCGTTCAACACATTTCACCTCACGCTCTGCCAAAGAAGTGTTCCACAATCGACAGTTGATTACAGAAGTGCACGATTGGAGAACTCTGTGTCTTGGCAACTAGGCACAGATTTTATGTCTTGATTGCCATGGGGTGTGTGGTGTTGATGAAAAACCGTTTATCAATTTTGATGAATGGAAGGAGACTCCAAAAATATCCAAGTCCATCCCATCCCGTCCCATTCAGCTCTAGCCCCTCAGCCCCTTGCCTTCCCCATCAGCCCGTGCACTTGAGCTAGCACCCATTGATGCTGGAAGGTCTTTAGCGTGAAGCAGGCTTTGAAATGCGCAAGCCAAACAAAACAATGCAACTGGAGCTTGCTCTTCTGTTTAGAAAGAATGGACTTCACGTCCACTTTTTGCAAAGTAGGTGTTCTAAGCTAACAGTTCGTCACAGGAAGATATCAGGGATCAGTTGGGTGTTGACACATTTGACAAACTGGCAAGTTTCTTCAAAGTCTCCCAAATATTGCCAAAGAAACTACCCGAAAGACTAGCGGCGTGGCTAGCTCTGCAAACTTCTTAAAACGTCCCTCCTCTTAGGGCCCAAATACACCGGAATGCACTTTGACATGTCTTACCTGACCACACAAAGAATCCCTGCTTGGGACCGCATCTGAAAGCCTTGTAGGGCTTAATCTTAAAGCTGCGAGTGTCCATCAGCCATCGGCACTTCCACAAGAAGCCAACGGAAATGTCGTAATTCGTTGGTTACACTCTGTCTTATTGCAGCTTCTCTTCCAGCTGGAATCCATGCGAAGCTGTCTCATGATGTGCCTCATTAGAAGCATATTGACCTGTTAGGCCCAATTACTTCTCCTCCGGCTTCCTTGGGTCACAAGCGTTCCTCTTTTCTGCTGTCACAGCCGGCGCTGGCAAAGGCAGGCCTCCGCATAGGTTTTGGGGTGGCAAATCGTAAGCAGTCAGCCTGTTAGTCCCAGTTGCCTCTAAACAATATCAACAAGGTACGGGGTTCCTGAATTAGTGGGCGGAGCAATGAATTTGGGGGGCAAAGCAGGTGTGTTGCTAAGGACCAACTCACACTGTGGAAGCTGAGTCCTAGCACAGGTCTAAACAAATTGGATCAAATTGGACCACATGCAAACCCTTTCACCGGCCAAAACGGACATCGAAGGCATCGAGCTTTGACCCAAAGGTGCTGAATTTCGACTAAGCTTCCAGGCAGCATCGTCGGCAGCAGCAACATCCCTGTCAACATGAGCGTGTGCTGAACTTCTTTCAGCTGACAATGACTACTTCAGAACACCCTTGGGTTGAAAAAATAGGGGTGAAGTCGCAAGCCGGGATGCAACTAGTGGACTCGTCCACTGATTGTCCTTGGCTGCACCACTCCAAGCTATGCAACGAAAACGACTATTGAGGATAGATAACCGATCAATGCTTGCAGATCGGTTGGGAAGTCCTCAAATTTGTACCCATCTCACTCGAGAAACTGTTGCCTGTGTGAGGTCGAATGTGTTAAGTTACCTCAATGTGTCTGAAGGTTAACAGGTCCACCGGAAGGTGGATCAACATGTTCTGCAGTTGTTCTTCATGTCGACCCACTAGGGTGAAACAAACTTGTCCACGTTCACTTCATGTTCCGGAGCAGGGTGGTGTTTGACTGGCGCTCACTTGAAGCAGACTAAGTAAAATCGCAGTCCTTGGAGTGTTCCTTTAAGGTCATCCTCAGTTCAGTTTATTGCTCCACATCTTCAAGCATGTTCTTGAAGGATGATCATGCACGTTGCTTACGACCACCACTGCCCAGTGAGGCAGTCCACTTAGTGTTGAGAAAAGGTGCGACTTACAGGTTCGTGCGGCGGAGCTATGTGGTTGAATGAAGGACAGCATTCTTGGCAACCAAGGACGACCCCCAACCTGAACCAAACAGACAGCCACACACCAAACTCTACCTCTTGGGCCCTTTAGCATCTCGCGTGGCCTATTGACTCACGTGGCCTATTGAGAATAAACGATGACAATCTGAAACACGGATCTCTGGCTGAAAGCTTCTCAGGATGGGGTCGGATGCTCTGATCCGTGTCAACAACTGGTGGATGCTTGTGGCCACTTGAAACTTTAGGCACGGGCTGCAAAGCCCACGTTGAAGCTTGTGATCCCTGAGTTTGATGAGGCGGCCCACGACCAAGAACTGGGGAGGTCCCGCCAGTCGTGGTCAGCTCACATGTGTCAGGTGGTCTGTTTGACTGACATCGCATTTGGCATGAACACCTACCCTAACCCTTATTGTTGTTAGTGTTCTGTTTCCTGATGTTTGATGTCTCCAAGTTCGCGGTCAAGGCATGGGTTGCATGCAATCAGGGGACGCTTCCTTCGGGCGAAGGTGGCACTTGCGCCATGCTTCGACAGCCTCGTTTTCAGCTGGTGGTCGACGTCAGATAATTATGACCCGGGAGACGCTGGCTAAATCAAGTTGATGTGCTGGCGTTGGACCCACGAGACGTCCGACTGTGACAGAGACCGCAGGAACTGCCATCCGTGGTGGAAGTAGCATGGCCCCCGCCTCCGAGGTATACATCGCGCAGCTAAAGCAACCTTTTTTGTCACCCAAAAAGTTGGCCCAGAAAAAACAGATTGCACTTCACCTTCTTTCTGATCAAGCCGTTTTGGGAGACAAGCGCAGTTACATAATAAGTGCTATGTGCTGGTGGAAAGCAGGTGAAGCAAACAAGGGATTTCTGGGTTCAGACGGCCGCTGAGCACATTCGTGTACATGTGGTGCCCTGAAAAACTCGGTTCAACCCCGAGTCATGGAACACATTGACTGCATGAGATGGGCACTGATTGCTTGAGAATTTAGGGGGCAACTGCACCCATGAGTTCATTTACTGTTTTCAGAAGTGGAGCTTCCACGCACGTCCTTAATGCAGAAGAAGCGCTGCATCGACATGCTGGACCTTTGATCGGATCGGCCGCCGCCGCTTTCCAAAGCTTGGTTTAGCTCTTCAACGAGCCTCATGGCCCTGCCCGACTGAGCTGCGGGTGGGATTCCCACGGTGGGGCGCCTGGAAATCCTTCCATCGCGGGCAAAGTTGGTGCAATGGAATGGTAGTAGGCGAACGGATGCCATGAAGGACTTCACCAAGATGTCCCCTAAATCTGTTGACCTGTTGATAGGCGTGAGGAAGAACGATAAAGGGCTTTCAAAAAGCGCCAAGCCGAATGGGGGCAAGTGAAGCCTTCAACGGAAGCTGCAATGGAGGATCAAAAGAGATGCGAGATGGGGTCTGCAACATCTTCCATCTGGAAAAAGAAGAGGTTAGTGACATTTAGTCAGTTACACTTACACTATCATTATAGGCATTCGTGTGTGCCCCTTTTTGATTTGACCTTCTCCTCCGCCTTCCGGGGGTTACAAGCGCTTTTGCTCTGCTATCACGGCTGCAGCAGTGCGGGCAAGGTGCCTTTGAGGTGCCAGGTCCCAGATGTTCAAGGGAGATATGTGAAAGATTGTTCGTGTGTGGTCCTTTGGTGGAATGTTGCTCCTGAAGGAGGTGTCGTAGGGAAGTACCCACTGAATCCTGGCTCGGAACAAATCGAACCACAGGCAAGCCTAAACATCGAGGGCGTCGACATTGGACCCAGTCCTCAAGCTGGACGGAGCTGCCCGCATCATGGGTGGCATCAATGGCATCCCTGACAATCTCAGTGTGGGTTGAAGCATGAAACTGCAGGTCTTCCGGGGGCTGCTGTGGATGAAGCTCTTCAAAGTGATAGGACATGCACTACATTCACTTCAGAATGCCTTGGCTGAAGGATGAGGGATGAATTCGCGGTCCAGGTGATGGGTCTGTTCTGGTAGGCACAGAATGATCAACAACAGCAACAACAGAAACAGTAGTGGATTGACTCACTCACCTCAAACAACGATCAAGACCAATGACCAATGGACACTCGCTGCTCGCGGAGTATTCCGACAGTTTTCAACCCGAGCCATATCTCTTGAGATCACTGTCGTCTGTGCTAGGTCCCTTTGGGTCCCTCCATTTACCATTTCAAAGGCAGGCTGGACCCGAAGATGGATCTTTGGGTTCATCCGGGCTCAAGAGAGACATGATCAGCAAACTTCCGACACACGCAACCGAGCTCCCCAGCTCTGCCTGGACTCTGATGGAGCTCGTATGCAGCGCCAAGATTCTCGAACACTTCAAATGGCATGCTGTGAGTGTCCAATGGCTGCGGCCATAGCCTTGTCTTGATTTACCTATATCCCTTTTGCAAAAGCCTGAAAATGGGGGTGCCCGTCATGGATGTGATTTGATTTGTTCGATTTGAATTGTTCCTGCTTCGAGCCACAACTAGTCACAAGTTGCTGCATCTCAAAAGTGCCACATCTGGCTGCCTTCACTAGTCCACACTGATCAAGCAATGAGTGGTGAACATGCTTTGCTTCTACGGCGTTTCGGACCTCCTGATCTTCAAGATCTACTGTAAAACACCAAGCTGCCTGGGCTCTTGAAACAAGTCCTTTCTTTTTGAGATGTAGCACTCCAATCGCTCTCCTTCTCTCATCCTCCATCCGCCCTGACGAGAAGTGCTCCGGCTGTTGAATCTGTCTCCTCAGTCTACGGGACTCCAAGATAAAATCCCACCTGATGAGAATGAAAAATCGTGCGGCGCAGTGTGCACATTGGCTAGTAGGAGGATCTCTTGTGGACCTGGAATCTACTTGCCGGCACGTGCACACGTGCACGAATTCCAAAGGTGACCAAAAC